ATTGTGATCTGAACATTCATTCATTTAGAGTTTGTGACTAATTATTATCTCTAAAATGCAGAAAGAAATAGGACCATCAAAGGAGAAACCTGATATAAATAATTCATTATCACTAAATAAGTGCTAGGCATGACAGTGGGTGATGCAAGGAATGACAATTTGTTCTCCCTGTGATGGATCAGGAAACAGACTCAGAGAGGCTGAAGGAAGCACTCTCGTAGCTAGCAAAGGGAAAGAGAGGCTACATACAACAAACAAACAAACAATAACAAGAACAACAAACCCCTGGATGTAAGGCAGCTGAGCATGGCAGAAAAGCAATGGCTTTGAGGCCATATGGCTTGTTTAAGGGCCAGGATTTGTGCCAAACTTCAGGGTGACCTTGAGTCAAGTCACTTGCCTTCTCTGCATCTCAATTTCTTCATCTATAAAATGAAAATAAAGGTAATGTTTACTTTATAAGGCTGATAAAAGGATTAAGTGTAGTATATTCCGAAAGTACAAGAATTTACTTGACCTTGAAAAGAAGACTGCGGGGGTGGGGGGGTGGAGTGGGGGCTGGAGAGATGGCTCAGAGGCTAGGAGCACTGGTTGCTCTTCCAGAGGTCCTGAGTTAATTCCCTGCAACCCCATGGTGGCTCACGACCATCTGTAGTGAGATCTGGTGCGCTCTCCTGGTGTGCAGGCATAGATGCTGGCAGAACACTGTCTACATAATAATAAGTAAATAAATCTTAAGAAAAAAAAAAGAAAAGTAGACAGCTTGTATCTTAATCCATTTTCTATTGCTATAATAAAACAGAAGAAGCTTGATCCATTACAAGGAAATGTATTTAGCTTATCTTCTGGAAGTTCAAGGTTGAGAAGGTACATCTATACAGGCCCTCTTGGTGGTTAGGACCCTGCAGAATTTGGAGAACATAAACACTCAGCAATAAAGGAACAAGCAAGATCTCTTTTCACCTACTAGGAGAGACACTCACTAATTGAGTGGTGAGAACCCCGCCCTCATGACCTCCTTGGATCTGAATGACCTCGTAAAGGGCTACCTCAGGTATCATTAGCACAGGGCTTTGGGAACTACCTTCCCAACACATGGATACTAAAAAAAAAAAAAAAAGGATGCAGATGGCAGAGCCAAGATCCCAGAGTTATCCCACATGGCCTTCATGTTTTTGCTGCTGCTGCTACTGCTCTGTCACTGTTTGTGCGTTTCAGTGACTAAATTGCCTGTCTCTGTACTTGTTTACATCGAACAAACAAGACGAAGCAAACGTGTAGACGTGACTGAGTGCGCGCATGACAACTTCATCAAGACAAAATAGTTAATTTTTTTTTCAAAATAAAATATACTCTACTCAAGAATCAGCCAGACCCAAGTCAAAGCCTTCTCCTTCAATTTTCTAGATAAGTGGTGTTGGTGTTGGACCAAGTTCTCCAGACTCCCCAAACCTGTTTCTCTCATCTATAAAATAACCACAATAATAACTACCTCACATTGTGGCTGTAAATAACAGATGCAATTATACATGTGTAGTACTTATGTATAATAGCATTTGTATAACATGTGTCGGGTACCAGTCACTGGCTTGTGCCCTTGAATTGTATTTAACTTATTATATGGTCTTCCCAACAGCTTTACGAAGTAGGTACTATTATTATCCTTGTTTTGCTGGTGAGAAAGCTAGAACTGGTGGTGCTCAATAGTTTCCTGAGGGTCACAGGGCTGATAGGTGTTGGGCGTGGCCTCAGGGAGGCTGAGCTATTTGCTATTTTGAGATTTCTACCCGACCCGTCCACTGTAAATGGTAAATATTCAATACTTACATTTTCCCTAGGGAAATAAGTATCCTTTTTGAAATTTCACAACATTTTGTTTTCATTTTAAGAGATCTTGATCAAAAACTAAAACAATCATAGGAATGTTCTCACAAAATTATATTAATAATGAATCTCAGATTTCTCATCTTTCTAGCCATGAATCACATTTTTAGTAGCAACTCACTGTGGCAGTGGAAATATGTAGTTCATGTAAACACAAGTTAATAATATAATTCACACGATTCACGGGTAAGTGGAAACACATTTATCAAAATCCACAGAGGAGTGAGGGTGTCATTACAGGATAAAGAATGTTTGGGGATTTTTATTTTTTAGACAAGAATATACAATAGGCTGTAGATATTTTTAAGTCAAAATGTACCTTTCTTATAAAATATATTAAAATTTTAAAGTATTTTCCTAAAAGTATTAATTTTTCTTATCTTAATATGTGAAGCAAATCAACACAGTAGCTGAACTCTCAGCATTCAAGCAAACTTATCCATCTTCTCTTGACACGACTCATGTCCACCTCTGCTTTTCTTCATCCAGCATGCACTCAGTACACACACACACACTTGGGCCAGATACTGGGAGACACACAGAGAAAAAGACACAGCCTTCTTTGGTGGAGGTGCTCAGATGGTCAACTAAGTATAGTCGGTGGAAAGCTGGACAGGTGACGACAGAAGCAGGTGAGGGAAATGGGAGGAGGAGGAGGAGATCCAGTGAGCAAGTCTTGCAGGGCAAGGTCATGAGGGTGGAGATTGGAATATGTTGTAACCGATACTTCTTCCCGGAATGTAGTGAGAGGCTACCAGATAAATATACTGCATTGATTAGATCATATACAGTACCCTGGAGTTAAAGAGTTTTCATCACCAGAATGGGGAAACATGAGCCCATCGACGTCTTTAGAATTTTTCCTGGTTTGGCATAGAAGCTGAATGGAAGAAATTTAAGGACAGATAAATTCAGGAGCTGTAGCTGTCATAAAAGGTAAGGTTCAACTGAAGCAATCAGAAATCGGTAGTGAAAAAGTGGAGATTGATAAGGAAAGTTAACAAGTCTTGATTTTGAAATCCTAGGTCTTCTTGGATAAAAAAAAAAAAAGAAAAGAAAAGAAAAGAAAAGAAAGAAACAAAGAAAAGAAAAGTCCTTGTTTCCCGACTCTCGTGAATGATTTATGAACAATCTAGAAACAATTTGTTAAGATGAATATTTATTGTGCTATTATTCTGTTCTAGGCCCTGTGGTAATGCTTCACATGCATTGCTTAATTCTTACTTAACAAATAAGGAATCTGAGGCAGACTAGAAGGAGCAACACCCACAAGGTCACCTTAAATCTCACCCATAGACCCTCAAACTCCTGTTTTTCTCCTAAATAGAGTCTTCAGTTTAAATCAACACTGCCCTTTTCTCTTTTTTTTTTATTTTTTAATTCGTTTTACATATCAACCACAGATCCCCTTTTGTCCCTCCTCCCCCTCTCCCCCACTCCCCGTCTCCTCCAACAGGGTAAGTTCTCCCATAGAGGGACAGCTAAGTAAGCCTGGTACATTCAGTTGAGGCAGGACCAAGCCCCTCCCTGCTTTATCAGGAGTGAGCAAGGTGTCCGACCATAGGTAATGGGATCCAGAAAGCCGGCTCATGCACCAGGGATCAATCACATTGCCAGGGGCTCCTCAGACAGAGCCAGCTACACAACTGTCTCCTCCATGCAGAGGGTGTAGTCATGTCCCATGCAGGTTCCACAGCTGTAGGTCTCAAGTTTGTGACTTCCTTTGAGCTTCGTTCAGTTGTCTCTGTAGATTTCCCCATCACGATCTTGACCCCTCCCCCCCCACCCCTGCCTTGCTCATAAAATCCTTCTTCCTTCTTTTTCACTGGACTCTCGGAGCTTGCATGGCTGTGGATATCTGCATCTACTTTTATCAGTTACTGGATGAAAGCTCTATGATGATAGTTAGGGTATTCAGCAATCTGACTACTGGGTAAGCCAGTTCAGGCACCCTCACCACTGTTGCTGGTAGTCTAATCTGGGGTCATCCTTGAGGATTCCTGGGAATTTCCCTAGCACCAGGTTTCTCCCTTACCAGATAATGTCTCCCTCTATCAAGATATCTTTTTCATTGCTCTCCCACTCCATCCCTCCCCCAGCTTGACCATCCTGTCCCTCATGTTCTCATCCCCCATCCCCTCCCCTCTATTCCCCCCCATCCCCTCCCCTCTATTCCCCCCCATCCCCAGTTTACTCACGGGGATCTCCTCTGTTCCCCCTTCCCAAGGTGATCCGTTCATCCCTCTTAGGATCCTCCCTGTTTCCTAGCTTCTCTGGAGCTGTGGGTTGTAGTCTGATTATCCTTTGCTTTACAACTGGTATCCACTTATAAGTGAATACATACGTGTTTGTATGTACTGTTTGTCTTTATGAGTCTGGGTTACCTTACTCAGAACTCTGAGATACCATCTTACAGCTATCAGAATGACTAAGATCAAAACACTGATGACAGCTTATGTTGGAAGGGATCTGGAACAAGGGGAACACTCCTCCACTGTTGGTGGGAGTGCAAACTTGTACAGCCACTTTAGAAATCAGTATGACGGTTTCTCAGAAAATTAAGAATCAATCTACCTCAAGACCCAATGATACCACTCTTGGGTATATACCCAAGGGATGCTCAAGCATACCACAAGGACACTTGCTCAGCTATGTTCATAGCAGCATTATTCATAATAGCCAGAATCTAGAAGTAACCTAGATGTCCCTCAACCAAAGAATGGATAAAGAAATTGTGGTACATATACACAATGGAGTACAACTTAGCTGTAGAAAACAATGACATCATGAAATTTGCAGGCAAATGGATGGATCTAGAAAATATCACCTCATCGTTTTCTTAAAAGAAAAACTTAATCAACTTCTAATCTCCCCAGTTACCACCCAACCCATGTTGTGTAATGATGGCCATGGCTCTAACACGATCTCTCCTCTACTCAGCTCCTTTCTCCTAAAATTTCAGCACTAAGTGCTGTGCCTTTTAAATATACCCATACTAGCTATTATTGCCCTAGCAAACTAAAAAATCTTTTGCCAAACTTCTACCCCTACCCCACCCCACCACCGCCACCCCCATCACCCCCACCTCATGTTCCTCAAAGCACTGGCCATTAGTAACCACTTCCTTCTTCTTGGAAACTTTCTCCTTGTTGAGCACAGCAAAGAGATGTCTTCAGACATCGTCACTCGTATTTCAGTAGTTTTTCTTTATCCAGCTCTGGCCAGGTCTTTCCTAGGGAAGGACCTGTTTCGTTTCTTTCCCTCTGTGCCGTGCATGCCATCAGCGCTGGCTTTCTGTTATTTGCCTTTATTATTATTATTTCTTGTCTCTGCTTTTCTCCTTCAACATGAGCCCTCACATGTAGCCACTGGTGAGCTTCCTACGCTTCAGTGCCTGGTCTCATACCCACGCACAGATGGGCAGGACTAACTGAACTTAGTGGGTTACTTGAAAAATAAGAGGAGGGGTTGGTGGGGCATAAGGACCTTGGTGGGAGCAAATAGGGGGTTAAGGTGGTCATTTTTCCTTGTATCCGTGCATGAGATTCTGAAGAATAAAGTACAAAATTTAAAATACTGTCTCTCCACTTCCTCTTCTCAGTACAATGCTGAAATATAAATATCTTCCTATCCTCTTTTCTCAACATTTTTTTTTTCAAGATCGAGTTTCAAGGCAACTTTGAAACCAGTTGGCTCAACACCAACTCGAATTTATGCAGCCTTCCCAAACACTTCCCTGAGGAACCAGGCACATTCCCTAAGATTTCCTTCTATACGCAGGCAAAGTACACAAAGAATTCATTCTGCTGTTAATCTCGGGCTGCCCAGGGTGCTCTGATTTCTTTGTTTATGAAAATAGATGCCAATGAATTAAACCGACAGATTGTACTTTGAAGCCTGCCGCTGTGAACGTGAGAAAGGGCGAAGCTTAGTCAGTGGACCTGCGCCCTGGCACACAGCGCTCCAGTTCTTGCGGGCTCCAACCCAAGTCTAGAAACTGAACCTTGCGGGGGCCAGGACCTTCCAATGAGTAAGCTTCCACCAAAGCCGCAATACATCAGGCTACCAGCGATGCTGACCGTCTAAGCGAAGGCATGGTTACAGACCTTCCAAGATGACACACAATTGGCACAGATCTGAAACAGGATCGCTGAGGGGGTTCTTCAAGCTCTAGCGCTGAAATATGATTCAGTTTAAGGTCAGAGCAAAATTAAACTCTCATGCCCGATATTTGTACAAAACGCCAGTAAATAAAGTTATCATTGCTCACTCCTACCTTACAACAGTATTTGTTTATGAGATGAGAAATGATGCAAAAGCTTTAATACACACACACAGAGAGAGAGAGAGAGAGAGAGAGAGAGAGAGAGAGAGAGAGAGAGAGAGAGAGAGAGAGAGAGAGAGAGAATCGTCCCTTAACATTTTGTGTTCATTCTTTGGCTTGCTTGTAGCTCAGTATCCGTCAAGAGTAGGAGGAGAAATCCCAGTTCTCCAGCCTCTCCTCTGCTCTCCTATAGGATTAGCCTTTGAGTAGTCCAAGAAACTTTTTAAGAAAGTTTTTTTTCCCCTTCCTTTCTGCGTTTCCTCCGTCAGCTCAGCACCTTCAAGCAACCAGAGGCTTGGGAGCAAATTCTCCCATGGACAAAACCGGAAAGCCTAGAAGGCAAAAGTCACCCCGGGTCGACCCGGGTGCTTGGGGGCAGGTGACAGAGGGACAGTTTCCTAGGCGCTGGTTTGACAGTTTCATCCCCGCCCACTGGCAAGAGCGCTCCTAGGGCCGCTGCACAGGCGCACAGAGGGGGCCATAAAAGCTGCAGCCGCGCAGAGACGCGGAGCTCGCCCACCCCCGGCGGAGCCGCGACCCGCCATGCACGTGAACGGCAAAGTGGCCCTGGTGACCGGTGCAGCGCAGGGCATAGGCAGAGCCTTTGCCGAGGCTCTGCTACACCATGGCGCCAAGGTAAGGACCTCTCTGTCCACCCACACGCCGGAGCCCCAGCCCCGAGGGTTGCAAAGCCCCAGGCTCGCTAGCAGACCTCCAACACCGCTGGCTGGCAGAGAACCCGAACTTGGATGAGCACATTCTGAGGTCTAAGAAGGGAGCGTCTTGTTTATTCATTGCTCGTGTGTCCCGCGGCTTGGTGTGGCAGAGCTGCCCACAAGACCTGCTCCCATTCTCTCTCTCTCTTCTTGTTTGTAGGTAGCCTTGGTGGATTTGAATCTCGAGGCAGGTGTAAAGTGTAAAGCTGCCCTGGATGAGCAGTTCGAACCTCAGAAGACTCTGTTCGTCCAGTGTGATGTGGCTGACCAGCAACAGCTGAGAGGTAAGACATGGGAAATCAATCCATAGACTCGGGAACACGCCCTGAGCAAGCAGCAACCTGAAGACTGCCAGGTAAGAGCCCGACAAGGCTGAACGCCAGCATCGCTCCCTTGGAAGAAGCTGCGACCTTCTAGCTCCCATGGATAGTTTGGACTGTTATGGTTCTTTCTGACAATCCAATGGCCGTAAAAACTGAAGGGAAGACAGGACAGCCTAAGAAATCCTTTTATTTTAGTTACTTGGCAGCACATAATGTAATCAAATGTCTTTTGTGTATTCGAAGACAGTGCTGCTACAGTAATTACTCGGTGAGGGGACAGGCTTAGGAACTGTGGCAATAACTCCCAGAAAGCTGGAAGACGCAGTTAAATGACAAGCAAATGCGGCATGCTTCAGACTACAAGTTCAAGGGTCAGGGTCACAGGCAAACCACATACTTTTAGCTAGATGTTTTCTCTGGGTTTCCCCCCTCTGAGATGGCTCTTAATCACTGTGTGGTGTTAGAAGGAAAGAAGGAAAGACTCTATCGCCTTTCCCCAATGTTTTCCTGTTTTTCTGTGACCTCTTAAAATAGACTTGCAAAATATCAGGAAGAATATTGGCGTCAGCACTATACACTGGCTGTATAGAGGGCTCCAAGAATTTTCTTAAAGAAAATTTCCCAGGGGGGAAACATAGGAAAAAATATTGGTTTTTCACAAGGTGTTATTCAAAGGAATGAAGTAAATTGGTGGGCACATCTTTAATCCAGAAGTCAGAAAACAACACCAGGTCCACGCTAGAGCTTAAAGGGATACTGAGGTCCTAGGTGTCTTACAGCTTAAGATATCCTATGAATAAAATGGACTGATCTGTTAGAAGACAGTGAGTCTAAAGATAAGGGAAACTGGATTAAAGAGAATATCATTAAAATATGAAAGTGATGATATGTCAGGCAATAGAGTTAGCATGCGCGAGTAGAACAGATTTTTAAGGGCAGTCGTTAACAGGGCATGCTTTACCAGAGGATAGTTTTATTGAAAGCATGTTAATGACATTTAGGTTCAACCAAGAGCCAACATTTATTCTGCTGGAATAGAGGACCAGTATAGATCATTCGTACGGCTTTACCCAAGACATTTAATGTATGTTATTTTGCCAGTATTTAAAATGCGTACCATGGCTATGAAGATATTTATTAAGCATAAGTAATTGTGAAGGAAACTCAGACACATAATAAATGACCCGGAAGGCCTGTCAATCATAAGAAGTTCACCTGTTGTTTAGAGTGAACAGGCATAAAAATGGAAGGATGACAGTGATGCTCACAATGTCACAACTGAAGGCTGCTGGGACTTGTGAAACTGTTTAGATACATTGTGACAATGCAGAGTTGGAAGGGTTCTTGGAGACATCTAGACATGTTATTGTACAAATTAACAAACCGAAAGAACACAGACATTTAGATGAAGTATAGAGTGTCGTAGCATGTAAATGTCAGAGGGAGCCAAACTTTGAAGTCACATGAACCAAGATCTCAGTGATATGTCAAAAAGCAGATGGCACAGGGCACTTTGGCAAAATCAAAGCAGTGGCAACTAGGAGGAAAGAAAACTGAGGAAAAATCAGACATATGTATTTAATAATTTAAACCTAGGATAGAAGGGGCAGGGGCAGGTTAATATTCCTTGACCTTTTCTGGAACCAACTGAAGACTTAAGAAATGGTTTTAAAAATCCATTAAAAAGTAAAAAAGTTTGTTTTATTGTTATTATTTTTGTTGTTTTCCAGTTTGGCCCAATGAGTATAAAATGATGCTTATGCAAAATCTTGGAAAATGCACTTCACAATCAACTTGCATGTTTATTGCCTCCCCAAAAATATTTGATGATTGTTAATAATTCTATAAATTTGTTTCAGTCACGTTAAATTTTGTATTGATCTGCCTATTTAAAGAAACCCATGGGTTCACTTGCAGGGCTGGAAATAGACTTATGCCCCGTGAAAGGAAAAAACATAGTTATTGTCTATAGGCTGAAGTAATAGAAATAGAATAAAAGTGACCACTTGTTAAATCTATAGAACTTCATAAAAGGATGCTTTAAGAAATATGAGCTTCCCAATACCAAGGTGGTAAGGCCAACTTTGAACTGGATATAGAGGGTTTACAGACTTTGATAGATGGTTAGACAATGCAATGTGTGAGATTCAGGTCTTGGAATCTATATAAACTTCTCCAACTGAACACAGTTTTATACAAATCCATAATGTAAAGCAGTAATGATAATAAGAGGGAAGAATGAAACAAGAAAATAACATTAACATGGTAAAATCAACTGAATAAAAAGTAATCTTTCACTAATTAGGACAGCAAAGATTCCTGGAAAAATGGTCGTGATGGATTTAAATGCATGAGTACTGAGTTAGTTTAATGTTTTGTGTATACAATAGAGCTTATTAAAAGGGGATATTTGAAAAGCTAGGGTCATGGTCCCTATGGTGGAGCACTTTTCTATAGTGTGTAGGCCCTAGATTTGACCCTTGATGCAAACAAACGCAAAGAATGTGTATTATAGTCTATACCAAGGAGTTACAATAATTTTCTAAGAAGAGAAAGATACTAACTGCCCAGACCGAACTCAGGAGGGCTCTTAGTTTGCAATGCTCACTTCTCTAATATCTGCTCCATCAATTTATTGATTATGGAATGCTAACATGAATTCAAATCATCTAAGGATATGTTGAAGTAAGATTCTGATTCAGTGGGCATGCAAGAACTATACTGCATTTCTAACATTTGGGTAATTCTAGGTATTACCCAGAGTTAGTCTGCAGACTACTTACTGAGAACCAGATTATGAGTGTACTTCTTACTAAATGGTCAAGTAGACTTAAAAATCCCACCAAATTTAGTAGTGCAAGCCTGTAATTTCAGCTACGGAAGCTGAAGAACGAGGATTCCACATTTAACAACAATCTAGGCAATGTAGTGAGATCCTGACTCAAAATAAAAAGTAGAAAGATGGCTAGGGATATAACTCAGTTGGAGAGTGCTTGTATAGAATGTCAGGTCCTAAATTCAACCTCTGGTCCAACAATGAAATAGAATAAAATAATAAAGTAGACTCAATGAAGTCCATAGGAAATTATTTAAATACATATGTGGAAAATGAAAATCTCTCTCTCTTTTTTTATTAGATACTTTTAGAAAAGTCGTAGACCATTTTGGAAGATTGGATATTTTGGTCAATAATGCAGGAGTGAACAATGAGAAAAACTGGGAACAGACTCTGCAAATCAATTTGGTAAGCTGTATTAGACTCAATTATTCACTAAGACTATTCAGTACCACTTCTGCATATCTAAAATGTTATTATAGTCACAGAATAACAATAATGGCCTTCAGTGTAGAAAAATGGAAGTTACAGAAAGCTAGCAAATTATCTTTTCATAAATATGATGATACTTGATATTTGTAATTATGAAAACATGTCTTAAAATATTAAAGAGAAGCAAAAACAAACAGTTCACCAATAACCTGACATACATGAATAAGTGAAACTGAAATTTTGGTATCTATAAAGTTTTATTAGAATACAACCCTGAAGTCATTGTTATGTTTTCTGCATCTAGCTTTGTGCAGTAACGGCAGACTGAATGTTATGACAAAAATCTCATGGCTTGCAATGCTAAAAATATTTACTGTCTAGTCCTTAACAAGTTAAGATTGCTAAACCCTGACTCAACTTACGTTTTGAAAAACAAGTCTTGAATTCTAAAAATAGATCAGAAAACAAGGTTAAAGAGATCATTGAACTTTATAGTTAATAAGACTTTTGCCATAAAATTCAGTAATTCAGTGTGTGTGTGTGTGTGTGTGTGTGTGTGTGTGTGTGTGTGTGTACATGTGCATGCATGTTCTTGTGTGTGATATCCACATTTGAAGATGAGTTAGCTCTGAAGTAAATTGTGAGTAAAATTTTAAAATGAGGTTTTTAATTCATCCAGTGTTGTACAAGTGGGTAGATTAGGTAGATTATAACATTTTATGAACACCCTCAACATAAGGCTATTGTGGTTTAATAAAACTCAAACCTTTCCCCAGCATTGCAAGAAAACAGGAACAAAAACAGAATGTTAAGAAGTGTGTAGCTAAAACAAAATGTCAGATGGATTTTATACAGGGCCACCATGCCCTGGCTCAAGTTATTACAAATTTGCTAAGCAGCCAAATGTCAAGTACAGCACAATGACTTCATGGGTGAGAATACAGAGTACTGTTTCATGAGCTTCCTCCTAGGAGATAATAAGCTTAAAAACAGCAGCTAGATGGGGCTGGAAAGATGGCTCAGCAGTTAAGAGCATGTTTTCTGTTTTGCTCTGTTCCCCCACCCCACAGGAGTGAGTTTAGGGGTCCTGATCTATTGATCTGTTGCCGTGGATTTATTGCCTACCATTGATCTATTGCCAAAATGATCATTTGTGATTTTGCAAATACTCATTCTGTCTAGAACATTCTTGGTGAGCTCTGAGGGGTTACATATGGCCCTCCAGTTGCCTTCAGACAAAGGGAGAAGCTCAAAAATGGCTTTTGAGACAGTAGAATGGGTGCATTTCCTGTGTGGGAAGGGCTGATGAGATCAGCAGGGTGAAGAATAAGTGAGGGGTAACTATGGTAAGTAATGAACGTGCAAGGACACACACACACGAGATGGTTTGGCAAATCACCAAAGACTGTGCCAAAACACTGAGACGCACACAAAACCACTCATACTAATTTGTACAAGATTCTTTGTATTTCTACCCTCTAAGAACACAAAAAGTAATTTTCTGCCTTCACAGAACTTAATTTGTGCTAGCATGAATTATGCATCTAAAAACAGTTCTAATGGAATTATACACTGCAGAGTTTCTATGAGAATGGTGGAAATATGCTGGATAGGATTTCTCAGGAGGATGCATTCGGAATGGAGGTACAGAGCAATGGTATAATTATCTGTTTCGTATATATGAATCCTGAACTCAGCCCTCAGGAAAAAACAAAAAGGATGCTCTTAACTGCTGAACTATCTCTCCAGCTCCATCTAATTCCTATTTTTAAGCTTATTATCCCCAAAATTCATGAAACAGTACTCTGTATTCTCACACAGGAAGTCACTGTGTTATACTTGACATTTGGTTACTTTGCAAATTTGTAATAACTTTGGCAGGTAGGTAGGTATAGAATTGCTTCAAATATTAGTAAAGCAATTCGATAATGTGATTCTTTTAACATTTTGAAGCTTTTGTAAACATAAACAATTCATCTCCATGCAGATGAGAAATACAATCTAATTTTGATAAATAATTAACATATATTGAATCCTTTAGCATATTCAAATAGAAAGCTGCTATTGATGATTATCTTTCCAGAAATACTAGTTGACTACCGATTTCCTCTGGGGAAAAAGGGGGTGCATATTCGGAATTAGTCAAAACTAAAGTTTAGTCCTGAATGTAACAATTTATGGACTCTATATAAATATCTCTGACCTTGACATTCACAGTTGTGAAAGAAGTTAAACTTCTTGCCTCTAAGAACCATTAAGGTTAAATAGGACACAATTTGTGTGAAGGATACAGCCCAGTGTTACTACAGAGACATTCAATAAAGCAAATTTCCCTTCTAGGTACCAGAATATATATTTGTGCACAATCTCCTTTTCATATGAAGTGGATTTTTCTGCCTTATTGTTCCTCTAATAAGGAGATAAATTGAGAAAACAGGCAGAACTGTTGCTGCTTAAATAAAAAGTTTATTATGGATTCATCAATAAGAGCTTAAGAAAAAGCAAAAAGCATGCTGTTGGAGTCGAGCCCACGGGGAGGTCAGCCATATGGCAGACAACAGACACACAGTGGGGAGAGTAACATCAGAAAAAGAATGAAAAAATCCCAAAGTATTCCACAGAGTATACAAGACTCTGACCAGCCCCCAAAGGACAAAAATGGAAGAGAGAGGGGAAAAAAGGAGAGTTACTCCTGAGTCAGGACTCAGAAACCTGAGCAGACCCAATAGAACCTCACTGTGGTTAGTAGGTGTCTGCTGCACTTGAGTAAGGATTCTGGGAGGGAAAAATACATTGTCTCATTAAGTTAATTATCTGCTCCCTCTTTAGGTTAGTTTAAAGAAGCATTGTTCTTAATGTGTTTGCTTTTGTTGGCTCCAAAGGAGATTAATAGCAAATGAAATATGTAACCATTTGCTGCCACTGCTACTCTGTAACAAGGAAAGTTCTAGCTGAAGTATATTAGCAAGAATTGCTAAATTGTAAGTATCTCTAGCCAAGTAGAAGACATTATATCTAGCACCAAAACAAGGATAAACTAAAAAAAAAAAACCTTAGACATGAAAAATTAAACAATGAAGGAGATTTCAGAAAAATAATCTCCATTAATGTTCTTTGGGAACTGGCCTGGAGAAAATACAAGGATCTTAAAAAGCAAATTTGCATGGTTTAGATGCCAGAATATTCTCAATTACAATGTAGTGTAAGAACTATAAACTGTGAAGTACCTCAAGAGGAGGGGAATGAGATGAGGGAAATGGAGAAATGACAGACTGGGAATTTCAGTAGTGAAAAATATAAGTGTATGTCTCTCTGAGTATGCATGTATGTACACTGTGTATGTGTGCTGTAGAAACATATGAAACCTGATAAGAAAGAAAGCAAACAGGATATGTTTTTTCTAGATGTCTGTGTTACTAGAGAATTATTTCCAGTACAGAGGAATAGAAAAGCATGGCTGTAAGTTATAGAACACTGCAATTAGCAAAAAATTCTAACACTTGCAATAGGTTTTAATTATAATTTTAGTATTATATATAAAAGTTGACTCTTCATAACTAAAAGTATTGAATGAACATGTTGATTTGATCATTTTGTCAACAGTTAAAGAATTTCTCCTCTTTGAAGTTAGAGAATTTTTTTCCTATGAAGTCAAGAACAGAATTTTAACTACATTCACAATGTATCTTAAATAATACCACAGAACCAATTTATATTCTGTTTTATCTAGAAATGTCATATAATTTTATCTTGATGCTTGATTTAGTGATCCAATATTATATATATATATATATGCATTCCTCAAAACAAAGAAATATTAACAAGAAATATTTCATTCTATGATTTTTTTAAAAAGTTCCGTGTGTGTGTGTGTGTGTGTGTGTGTGTGTGTGTGTGTGTGTGTGTGTGTTGTGTTGTGTGAAATCTGGAACAAGGAAAAGTTTTTTTTTTTTAGGAAAAGATTTTTATGATAAAAAAGTGAAAATATCATTTGTATACAGCCCAAACATTGGATATTCCTTGAAATTTGTCCCATCAACACTTTAACTTAAAAAGTTATTCAGTTCTTGAACTTAGATGGTTAAGAAAAATATTCCCTTGTCCACCTCTACAGAAAATATGGAAATGAATCCTGCTTTTTAAAACTTTAAAACTAGGGAACTGGAGAGATGGCTCAGCAGCTCATTGGCTGCTCTTTCAGAGGATAAGGATTTGGTTCCCAGCATCCACAGAGTGACTCACCACCCTATGTAACTCCAGTTCCAGGGATCAGATGCCTTTCCCTGACCTTCAAAGGCACTGGCTACCCACCTGATGCCCATCCATACTGGCAGGCAGACACTCATACATATAAAATAAAATAAATACATTTTTAAAAAAATTTAAAATTGAAGCATAAACTTTTGTACATTTCTTATCTTACTACAACTTGAAGAATTTTAGAAACACAGAAGCAGAATGTCAGGAAAGCTTTAAATAGCAGAATAAAGGCATATACTAATGTATGTAAACTAGAACCTTACTCAAGCATGCTGAAGAATTGGGCAGAAATTAACAAACAGAACTGATTTTAGTAATTTCAGCCATGTACATATTTTTCCTTCTTATATAATCCATTTAGGTGGTTTTTTTTCACTTAGAGGGAAGTGTGATAAATTATTTAATGCCCCTGCTTAACTGGAAAAATGCCTTAAATGAATAGAATTTTCAATTTACCTTTTTGTTTTGTTTTGTTTTGTTGTTGTTCTAGACATACTAGCAGGAAATGGAATCTCCCTAAACATTTTCCAAGAAAGTACTTTTTCAAATGAAAAGAAGGAAAACACTAGTATGTACCCCTAGTTTCAGACTCATGGCCTATTGACCTTTATCTGTGCATTACTATAGAGTATAGATAAAGCAAGAATTAAGCTGTCCAAAGTGAATTTTCAGTTTTGAAAAGCTTAAGCTGAAAGAGAGAAGAGTTCAGAGAAGTAAAAGGAAACATACTATCAGTTTTCTCTGGAGTTATTTCAGAGAGTAGGAAATTCTTAAAAGTTAGAATAAAAGTTGAGTTCCCACTGAAGGGGTGAGCAGGGAAACTAGTGGACGATCAGAATAAAGCCATCAGCAGTGTGGAATAACATTAAGTAGTAGATATGTCTAAAGACTGTGTCTAAGTAGCAGAAAATCTCCGCTCAAATTACAACTAGAAAAGAGTCATGTGATTTCCCCAAACTGAAGGGCTTGGGATTATCCGACACTGTACACCAATGTTTTCCTCATGATCTAATCTCTTTAGCCCCGCCATCTTTTATTCAGGTTTCATCTTCATGATGTTAGTATCTTAGCTGTGCTTTACAGTGACTGAACAGTCACCAAGCAATGTAAAGGGGAAAATGTAGCCATTTCTTCATACCTTTCTTAAGAACAACAGATTTCACGATCGCATTCTTCACCTCCACCTTCACCTCTCTATCCACAGGTCTCACTAGCCATAGCTGAGTCATACTCTAGGTCTCAAACACAGCACTATAAAGGGGGATGGAATTTCCCTGACTGAATCACATCAGCCAGTGTCTACACTAATTCTAGGAACGTCACGTTCTACTGTGTTACATGGAGAAGATGCATATAGATGTAAAATAGATAGTTTATGCTGTAATCCCAGCACAAACGATGATGAGGCAGGAAAACTTCCTTGAGATCAAAGTTCACTTGGGCTACATAGTGAGATCTGGGCCAACCTTGGTCTTTGTGTGAAAAGCACAACAGACCCTGGATAGACAATCCAATCCTGAGAAAAGAGAACAATTCTTGGGGTAACATAATACCTGATTTCAAACTACAATTTGGAGTTATGGTAACAAAAACAACATGATATTAACGCAGAACATATATGTAGATCAATAGAATAGAATAGAAACCTCACATTTATACCATCATACATAGTTAAAACTATCTGAAATTTCACAGGGATGCTAAAACCATACATTAGAGAGTCTCATCAACAAGTGGTATACATATGTAGAAGAAAGAGGTTAGATTTCTGTTCTTCACTCTGTACAAAAACCCACTCAAAATGTTTCTGAGATATTAATGTAAGACCTAAAACTCTGGAAGTCTTAGAAGAAAATCCTGAGGAAATACTTTAAGATACACACATAGGCAAAAGCTCTCTGAAAAGAGCTTCAGTCCTTGGGAAAATAAACAAATGAGTGAGGAGACTGCTTACAGAATGGGGAAAAAATTTCCTAATTATTCATCTCATGGAAGATTAGTAATCAGAATATATAAAGAACTCAAAGAGAAAAATAAACACACTCTTGAAGTAAAAAGCAAAACCATCAATAAATGAGCTAATGAAAGTGAACCAGCAAGTCTCAAAAGATAAAAATACAAATGTAACCCATAAACATCAACCAAACTTCCAACATTCTTAGCCACCAGGAAAATGAAAATGACGCCGGGCGGTGGTGGCGCACGCCTTTAATCCCAGCACTCGGGAGGCAGAGCCAGGCGGATCTCTGTGAGTTCGAGGCCAGCCTGGACTACCAAGTGAGTTCCAGGAAAGGCGCAAAGCTACACAGAGAGACCCTGTCTCGAAAAACCAAAAAAAAAAAAAAAAAAAAAAAAGAATGAAAATGACAGGATCTATCTCATGGCAGTCAGAATGACCGTCAACGGAAAGTAAATAAAATAATGTTGACGAGGATGTTGGGAAAAGGGAGCCTTTGTACACTGCTGATAAGAATGTACATGCTTGCAAATGAAAATTCAGTTTTCTCTATGGGTGTCCACGTGAAAAGATAAATTACTCTTAGGGATATAGGCTGCATGCCCAGACATAGATATGCCCATAAGTTAGGTGAACTTATGTAGAAATATGATAACTTACACTAATGTTAGGAGGGCAAAAAAAGCAAATCAGGAGCAATTAAAAATTTAAAGCATGCAAAAACTCTCATTGATTATACTTGCAGATCTCCCTACATACCTGAGTGAGCAACATATTTGGTATGTAGATAGATGATAAAGACTAATAGCTGTATCGCTCTTTCCATTTTTTCTCCTGGGTTAGGTTTCTGTTATCAGTGGGACCTACCTTGCTTTGGATTACATGAGTAAGCAAAATGGAGGCGAAGGTGGCGTCATCATCAACATGTCTTCACTAGCAGGTAAGAACAATTCTCATTTTAACAGGAATTTTTTTCTTATTGATAATTTGGACCACAGAAGTAAATCTGTGAAGTATATGAATCATCATAACAAGATTGAATTAAATCTGGTTATTTGTTTCCTTAAAGATTTTTTTAGATTTTTCTACACATAATGCAAAAAATTTGAACAATGCATCTGTTACTTCTTTTCAAAGTTATCTTTACGGTGATATTGCTTGTGTGTGTGTGTGTGTGTGTGTGTGTGTGTGTGTGTGTGTGTGTATTTCCAGTTACTTGTTTTCAAAAATTATTTTAATACTTCCCAGCAGTAATACTTGTGAAAAAAAACTTTTGACAAAATAAAAATTACTAATGTGATGTCACCTATCTCTATTCCCTTGTGAATTTAGTGAGAATGTGTAATTTTAAACTGTGACATCATTTGTACTAGTTGGTGTATGTTAAGCTGTTAAACAATATCCAAACACATCTTAGTTTTGAGATATAATTAGTTTTGACAACATCTGTGTATTATCGAGGGCAAAATTTTTAGTCCTGGGTACCTAGTCTATATACAGCAAGTTGGAAAACCTGGCTGACAGAAGGTCTTCACCTCTATCACAGAGCTACTAGTGTTGATCTGCAGTAGGCAGAAACCTTTTTGTCCAGTAGAAAGAAGTAAGGCATGTGGAGGACACATCACTGCTCTTCCTCCCCCACCCACCCAAGCCATGGCAGACCTTACTGTGCTTACATTCCAGTGCAGAATTTGACCCATGATTCATCTAGCTACTTGAAAAATCTGGAAAATATTTTCTAATTGTACATGTAAGAAAAATGGTTTCAGTGGACAGCTGATCTTTTGCCACACCGAGGACTGAAGAAATGAGGCCACACAAGCAATCCAAAGGTGGTTTTCATTCAGAATAAAGTGGTTTAATGTCAGCAAAATGCTGTATTCTTCAATAACAGCCGCCAATGTGTGGAGCGACTCAGTTAAGTAACTATACTTTTTACAACTCCAGTGAGGGATGGATGTGCTGGTCCACACCTGTATCACCAGCACTTGAAGGAGCTCAGGTAGGAGGAAGGAGGACGGCCCAGATTAGAAGCCAGCTTAGCCAGCAGCAATGCCCCGTCTCAAACAAATGAACAACAACAACAGAATTTCTCGGAATAATTCACCAATGCTTCTAGAAGGGTGCAAGTGAAGCCATGACATTTAAGAAGACTGCTCACACTTGATAGCGAGTCTAAACTCTTCTTTGTCCAAGATTATGAGCCTAGGAAGAACATAAAGGAAACTGAAACCCTGTCTTGAATAAATCTTTCCCTTTGGCTGGTCCCTCCAGGCCTCATGGGGGAGGGGGTCCCGACCCTCAAGGCTGTTGCTAACTTTCCTGTGACAGTGCAGCTTTCCCTCCTTCGACACACACGCTGGGAGCTGGCCTGAACCCCAAGGTCCAACGTGTCATCAAGAAGAGCAATTTAAGGGCCTCAATCTAATGTTCATTTTGCTTTCTTCGCTAAGAGCTGGCCCCATCATGCCACTTACCCATGGAGCTTTTTTTTTTTTTTTTTTTTTTTTGCCTATTTCTGACACAAGATCTATAACTATGTATAAGTTTTTGGTCCTGCAGGTGCAACTGTGGATTATTAGAAATTCAGTGATAGGATATTGCTTTGGTTCTAAACTAACTTTCTGATCCTATTATCATAATGACTATTATGTCGTCTCAAATTCCTCCTCCCTTTGATTTTCATCCTAACATGTGAGACACCCCCATTTTAAAAGGCTAAACAATGGACTAAGTGTCTCTGTGTCCACTCTGCTCGGCTTTCAGGCCTCTTCAAGTGTCCTTTGCACAGCCAATGCAGCCTGCACACCTGCTGTATATCATTTCCTCGTTCTCATTAGCCATCTTCTGCTACCGCGCTTCCCACCCAGAGCTTTCGCTAACATGCCTTCATCGCAAAAGTTTCAGAACAGTCTTGCGTTTTATCAAGTAATGTCTAACTCATACACAGTGGATCAATTTGATAAAATTTCAGAGCATATATATATATATATATATATATATATATATATATATATATATATCCCAACATTAAAGAGGAGCAGACAAGAGAATGGCCAGTCTGAAGCAAGTCTGAGCTACATAGTGAGATTTTTGTCTCAAGATAAAAAAGGTTGAGCATGTAGCTCAGTAGAAGAGCACTCACCTAGCATGAATAAGCGCATGTGCGTGTACATGTACTTGCAGCCATATACACACACACACACACACACACACACACACACACACACACACACACATACACACACATGAACAACAGAGTATTAAAATAATAAGAGATAAAAGAGAACCCCTTATTCACAATTTTCTCAAAACCATATCAACAAATGTATGACCTTGAGTCATGGTACATAGATTGAGGTCATCAAACAAACAAACAAAACCTTAGAGGTATTATTAAATATTAAGTACTTTTTTGTTTTTGAGATTATAATTACATTATTTTCCCTTCCTTTCCTCCCTCCCTCTCATATACCCCTTCTTATTCTTTTTCAAATTTATGGCCTCCTTTTTTCATTAATTGTTGTTATATGCATATAAATATACATAGAGAGAAATGATATATATACATACATATATATGAAATATGTATACTAAATATAAGTTGCTAATCTATATAATGTTACTTGATCTATGTTTTCAGGGCCAACCACTTGTTATTAGATAACCAACTGAATACTCTTCCCTGGAGAAGACTATTTCTCCCTTTCAAAGTGTTTTTAATATTTACTTCCTGTTTGTTTTCCAAGCTTCCTTTGCACGTTTTTCAGTTTGGGTTTTGTTTTTTTTTCTGCTCACTCTAGTGCATGTAGAGTTGCAGGCCATATTCAGCTCATCTGGTTCAGCCCTTATGATTTCTTGTAGACCAGCAGAGTCCTTCACTGCCCTGGGAAAACCACAAGTTGTCACACTGGCTTGGGCAGAGAACTTATGAGTAATGACCACTCTGACACAGTTTCGAAGGCAGCTAATGGGTTTAACGAGCAGAGTGGATGAGCCTGAGCAGAGGAATGAATGTGTTCCACCTGCCCCTCCAGAAGAGGGTCTGGCCATTGCTCTCCACGTGGACTCTTCTATAGGAGTTTTTGTTTAAACACAATATACAAACACTCATTCTGTTCCATACTCAAGTATTAAAAAAAATGCTGGAGGGAGCAAGCGAGAATGAAGTCTGTCTTATTGCCGATGACTGGGTAACTGTGCGGGCACACGACACCTCAACAAGTCAAATGGGCTTCTTAGGATGGGAACGAAGTTCCGTGAGTAAGACCATTTAATAGGCAAGCGTGAAAACCTGAGTTCAAATCCTCAGCACTCATGCAGCAAGCTTGGCACCGCCACCCATGCCTGTAACCCCAATATTGAAGGGTGGAGACAGGAGAATGCCAAGAGCTCACTAGCCAACCAGCCTACTCAAAACAGCAAGCTTTAGATTCAATAATTCAGATAATTCATTGAATTATCTTCAACAGTCATTGAAACCACTAATTTCAAAGGAACTACACAGTGTGAAAAACATTGTAATAATGACTAGTTATAATAAAAGAAAACTCACCTTGCAATATTTTAGTGAATGTCCCGGGGTGGATCAACTTTTCCTACTATATGGATCCTAATGGTTCTGATGCACACTGTCATGAGTGTATGAGCCCCACTTCCTGATTGGCACTGCCAAAGCTTCCCTTGCTAGTCCAGAAAGACTAGTATCACTTTTGTTGTATTTAATCATAAAATAATTAAGAAGACGCATATTAGAAAGGACTGGTGTGGAATCTTAAATGTTTTAATGAGGTGTTTAGGAACTGGGCAGATTCACTGTTTCCTAGTATGGGAAGTAATAGTCTTCTAGAGCTGTGTTTCTCACTGCAAACTTTACTTAGGAATAGGATTTTGGGTGATCCTGAAACTCCATTCCAAGGAAAGAGGACATAGGTGTTCACTGCAAGAAATCTGGCTTCCACTGTGACTAGGGATCTTCACTGGCTGGGTAAAGGCCATCTCTGTTTCTTCTGGCAACATCACAGTAGGGACTGGACTTACAGGAAGTAGAATTTTGATGGAATATTAACAGCAATTTTCTGAGAATTAATCACTGAAAATATTCTTGGATTTATCTTCCTGAAAAGATTTTTATTATAAAATATGTAATAGTTGTAAATATTCTGTCACTTCTTATGTCATGCCACACTTTCACATATAACCTCTCAGTAAACCTAACAATAAAAAGAAAAGCCACTCGAGGATGGGGATGGTGCTAACTCAGTATGAGGACAGTTTCCTAGCGTGCATCAGTCCCTGTGCCGTATTCCAGAATCACACAAAGCTAAACAAAAAAAACCAAAACTGCCCTGAATAACGTGTTCTGTCATGTGAAAACCGTATAATGAGGAAGTCCCCAAGTTTCTTTGGTCATTTTAGGCATAAACATAGATAAATAGATCCCCACTACTTCTCCATTTCCCCCTCATATAAAAAAGTGGAGATAAAAATAGACAGATAAGCAAATGGTTAGTTTCCTTTGGGGTTGTATAGAAAATGTGGCAGATTTAGATCCTGTTTTTCTGACTCCAAAAATAGCATGTTTGGATTCACAATTTATATTCATAAATTGAGTTTTTTTCAGTATTTTTACATAGTATATTTTACATGATTCATATCTATTGAGAAAAAAATATGCTTGCAGATTCTATACAATTGTGAGAAAAACGTTAGCTTTTGCACAAAATAAAAAAATTAACTTTTTATTTATTGGGAAATGTGGCTATTAAGGCTGGGTTTTACAAGTATGGATAGAAAAATATTAAGAAGAGAATAAAATGAAAATAGAATTTTAGCACTATGACTTTATACATACATAAGTAATTTTCAAGTATTTCAAATGTCTTATATATACTATATAAATTATTTTATCATCTGGTATTATTTAGTAGTACCTCGAAT